GTGGCATTATTTTTTCTTACCCACCTCTTCAGTATGGATTTTTTAATGCTATTTTTAGACCCAGATTTTTAAAGAGGAAGAAGTCCTAAAAGCTACCTAATTCAGTCAGTTTGTTTACACCCTAGGGAAATTGAGGTCCAGGGAAGTTAGTTGAGGAGCCTATATGATCATAGTGTGAGAGAATTATCAGGGCTACAACCAGAACCTTGCTTTTAATTTACAGTGAAGCACTGTTTTTCTTACACCATTCCATTTTCTTATCTGGGTGGGCTTTTATAATTAATTGGTGTTTCCTCAAGGTGCTTGTTGATTAGCATTTGTAATGTGTTGAAAAGTATCATATGTAAATAGATCTTAATTTTTTTATTGCATGACCTCAACACCTGGTAGCCATGCTTTCCAAGGAAATTAAATTTGTAGGCCTTCTGGCTAGTATTATCATGTCTAAAATGGATTTTTTTTAAATTCTGGAATAAATAAAACATTGAATGAATTAGTTTTAATCCTCAGAATCTAAGAATATGAATGCAATTGAAAATTGAACCATTTGTTCTTAATCCTTCTTGAAAGTCTTTAATCAGCATATCTGAAATTATGGCCTCAGAAAAATGTAATATTTATGAGATCACAGATAACAGGATCTATGTAAGTGATGCCAGTACTGCCTAAGTAAAAATCTAAATTTTATATTAAAAAAAGACCATGTAGAAGGACAAATTGTGTTAAATGGTATAAAGTATTATTCATTTTTTATTTCCCTCCAAATTAGCATTAGATCTGTATTCAAAATATTTCCTGATTTAAAAAATCTGCTATATATTTTCCCTTGTTGAAGATCTAAATTATTAAGGAACCTCAAGTGACCTTGCAGCTTATTCTAGATGTTTAAAAAAATCATTCCTTTTAAGGATATTTAAGATTCTCAATATTGATTTTAAAGAATAAAGCATAAGAAACTGAAATCATGAACAAATAGATTGAAATGAAGTGATTCCAAATGTTAACCCAGAAAAGAAAGGATTATTTTGAAAATATTGAAGGAAATTCATTCATGTTAACCTTTTTTTATTCTCATTTTATGAAATGTTTTTGAAGTTATTCAAAAGTTGACTTTTTGCACATTAAATCATAATTTTATATGCAATGAACTTCCTATTTTTAGAACTTAGGGTCAACTTCCTTTGTACCATGAATAATCAGACTACTTTGTAAATTAGGAATTCTTCGTAAGATATTAAACTCTCTTAAAATAGGGTATACCAGTATAATGAAACTATGTAATAAATTTATAGGCAACAGATGTATTTCCTAAACAACATTAATGCACTAATGGATTTGTCACTTCATAGTGAGAATTAATCATGATAAATGAAAGTTTAAGAAGAATCAGTGTTCAGTGGCAGTTTTCTGTGATCTTGCATATTACCTGTTAAATGTGTTTGTAATATTTTTAAATAATTCCGAGTATACTTTGTGGCTTATTCTTAGCTGTCTCTTAAGTGTAATATGACATTCAGATGAGAAAACTTGCTCTTGAAGATTTCTTCCTTCAGCTTAACAAAAGCCACCCATTTCACAGATGATTTAACTTTGATTAACCTACCCCATTGTAACAGATTATTCTGACAACTGGAAATTCATTCTTTGGTGTTATTTCTAGGTGCAGCTTAATTTACAGAATAGCTTTTCTTTCCATCTTACCAAAATACATCACAATTTTGATGTTAACTCAAAGTAAAAATTCAATGGTTCATTAAACCTAGTCTTGGTATTCATTGTCAAGAGATTTGTCATTTTAAAAGTAACTGCTACTTTTATGCATTCTTTACTGCTCAGTTTATAACCTTAGAGTCCCTGTCAGAGAAAGCATGGAGTTAACCACTTAGCATATTGTAATGAATATTCATCAATAAATTGATGTGACATGGCAGTCCCATTTTTCAGTCTTCCTGCTCTCTTGCAGTCTTTCTCAGTTTTAAATATATTATAGTTCATCATGTAATAGGGACTAGCTTTGAAACCTTTGGAATTACAATACTGTATTTTTGGTTGTGTTAATAGTCCTTTAGTAGCTGTCATTTTAGTTTTTAATAAGTGTGTTTGTTTCAGAAGAATATTCTGTAATCTTATGTTACTGATGTATTTTTGCTAAATATTTGGTATATATAGATAATGGTTTAAGACCAAGTTTATAATAAAAATAATGTGTTCTGCAGTTTTTAAGAACAGGAGGTCATTTGTTTTTATTTTCCTTGAAATTTTCTTTAGCTTAATCTTTTTATGAAGGCTGATTTTAAAGTACCTGTTAAAGTTTGTAAATCAGTTTTTAATCCAAGGGAGATAAGTATATTTGTTTTAAAATCAGATCTTGAAAATGTGTATTTAAATAGCTAATACTCATCATTCAACTATAATTAAAATATATGGACAAATAGGTAAGGCAAATGCCATGTATTAGGCAGATATAGATCACTGTCAACATAATCTACATTTTAAATTTTAAAAGGAAAAGAGTATCAATACAGATTGTTTCTGTTAAATATGTAGATTATGAGGTCACTTAGCACTAAAATACTGACCATATGCATTATGACAGGAATTTGACACCTGTCATCAGGAATGGTACTTAGAAGCCATATAATGCAACAAAGTTGAGGGAGGAAAATATGATGGGGATGGGAGGCTATAATTTATAATTCAAGTGCTCAAGAATGACCTGTCCAGAGAGGCTTCAAGTCCCTATCTTTGACTTTAGGATTTACATACAGTAAACCGTACTGGTGAACAAAATTGATTAGAATAACTGGTAGTATTAGCAGAAAATGGGAAAATATATATTTTTTCAGACTTAATTTTTAATTGAAGTAAACATCCTATTACTCTAAAAGTCAACTTTTAAGTTAAATGTAATTATTTTCTTACATTACTCCTGCAGGTGTTTTTATGGTAGAAGTTCATCCTAGTGTTTGAGCAGTATGGTAGAAAATTGTTACTAGTTATACTGTTTTCAGATTAATAATCTGTTGTATATGAAAATTCATCTAAAAAGGAGTACTGCCTTTCTGTTTCCCTGTGTGATTATTTTGCCCAAAAAAAGCTTTCATTTTTTTAAGTAGCACAAAAGCTGTAATTGGCATGCTTTGTAAGGAAGTGTCAATGTGCAAGAGAGTGGCGATCACGAAGAATTCTTTTACGTGTTCTTTCCCCTTTGCACCACCGCCTCCTCAGCAGGGTCACTGAGATCACTAGCTTTTCTTGAAATGGCCATTTTCACTGGCAGGTGCATTATACCCTGTATTTTCAGATTGTTTTTCCATTCTGAATGTTTGGCAGGTTGATTGCTCTGGCTGCATTGACGGAGAAAGGGCTGACAAATGCGGTTGGGCTGGCTGAAAAGACAGTGATTACTGTTTTCCTTTGTAGCTGATTGAGGCCCTTGAAAGGAAAAATTTTAACCTTCACCATTTGGTTCAAAAGTATGAGCATATATTGAAATCATTCGTGCCATTTATCCTAGTTCTGTAAACTTGTCAGAACGTAAAAATCGCTCAATTTCAAGTAATGTAGGATTGGCATACGTCATTATCATTTTGATTAAGTTGGAGGTTGTATCATTGTGTGCATTATACAGTGTCATTTAAAGCTTTCTTTCCTACAGGTACAGTATGTTTTTATTGCTTATACTATGGAGTTAGAAAGATTTTCATAGCCCTCCAAACCTAAGACTATGCGTGTGGTTTGGCAGCTGGTGTGGCCTACAAGCTGCATTTTGTTTGCAGCATAAAGGCTTATCTGTAGGCCTCCTGGAGTGTGGGTAATTGCACAGGCTTGCTATTGGGGATAGATGGGATTGGAGGCAGTCAGGCAGAAGAATGTTATGCCATCCTGTTGCCACCTTGCAGCAGAAAGACACAATCCCAGCAGTGCCATCTGGTTGTAGCTGTCTAGTCAGCTGGCCTGGCTGCTGGGACCATGACTTGGCAGCTGGTTCCCATCCTTGACCATTCTTTTGTGAACATTGTATATATGTGTGTTTTAGGTAATTTTGAACATGGGTCGGGGAAATGACTATAACTAACAAGACCCTATATTGAATAGGCTCTCATTACTGCAGATACAGTCTGCTGCAGATGTCTGCTGCCAATCCCTTATAAACAAACGACACATCTGTGTTAGCAATAAAAATAAGCATTTTCTTCATAAAAATCCATCTCAGTATGTAGTGAAAGAGAAGGTAGGCAGAGTTTATGTTCCATAACATTTTAAAATAAGTGATTTTGTTATTTTCTTATAAGAGGAGATTTTAATAATTTTTTTAAAGTCTTACTATAAACATTGTATACTATCTCAATATGTATTTTTCTTCAAGGAAACATTTTAAGTGCTTATTGCCACATCGTACAACAGTAGATAATTAGACTTGCATTTAAAATGACAGAATAGAAAATGTGGTCTAATAGCTATTATCTTTAAAATCTTCCTCTCAGATAGCAACCTGAGACTTAATGTAAGCCGTCTTTATGCCATATGAAAACCCATTTGACATTGATGGTTTCAGATCACAAGTAAGCAGCCAGCTCTGTAGGCTATTTTAGACATTTGATTTTCTTCATTCTACAATATTAATGTGTCAGCTTGCTATACAGAACTGTGCAGGAGCTGCATGTTGTTCTGTCTGGAATGATAAATGCTTGAAAGCTTTGAGAGATTCCCATGAGGAATTCATCTTAGTTGCTTGTGTTTCAGTTTATGTAGCTACAGAATTGAGTATGACTACTGATGAGGTATCATATAGGTATGTATAAAAACCAAGAGGTCTCACTTAATTCTTTCTTTAAAATTGTGTTGATAAAATTCATTTTATTGGTACTTGTTCTGTCTTATCAATGGTTTACTTTTGCTTTTGTCTAAAGTTAGTTGAGCTGCTTTCTGAAATACTACCTCAAATATTATCAATTATTTTCACAAAAATAATTTTTGTGTTATACTGGTTTTTTCAGATGAAGAGGAAGAAGATGATGTAGTGACTTCTAAACCACCAGTTGAACCTGAAGAAGAGAAAACTTTAAAAAATGATGAAGAAAATGAGAGTAAAGGTATGTTAAAGAGTTTAACTTTTAAAAGTTTTGGTGATTCTTATTAAGATTTCTTTTATTACTTATATATTAAAATACAATAAAATGCTCTAAACCAAAGGGGTGAATCTGGTGGATGTGGCATTCATTGACCCAAACTATGATTGTTAGTTGACATGATATGACTGACGTAAATCAGACTTCAGAAAAACATTTGTTTTCCAGCTCCCCCTCATGAACTGACTGAGGAAGAAAAGCAGCAAATCTTGCACTCCGAGGAATTTTTAAGTTTCTTTGACCATTCTACAAGAATTGTAGAACGGGCTCTTTCTGAGCAAATTAACATCTTCTTTGATTACAGTGGAAGAGATTTGGAAGACAAAGAAGGGTAATGTTTAATTGCAAAAATTATGGCTTTAGCAATGCTAAATTAAGATTAAGAGTGAGAAGTTATAACACCATCTTTTTGGGGGTTTGTTCTTTTTCTTTAGAGAGATTCAAGCAGGTGCTAAACTATCGTTAAATCGACAATTTTTTGATGAACGTTGGTCAAAGCATCGGGTTGTTAGTTGTTTGGATTGGTCATCTCAGGTAAATTGTAACAAAAATTGGTTGCTATTAACTCATTTTTTAATTATAATTAGCAGGTAGTTTTACTTTAATTATGGAAATCTTGTGTAATTGATGTATGTCATTTAAAATAATGGTGGTTCTAATGTCATATTTATTTTGTCTTATGTACTTTGGAAGAAAGGATACATTATATTTAAAACTCAAGATTTTATTTATGCCACAATCCAGTTTTTTACCAAATTTCAGTTTTTTACCAAATCCTTTGGATAAGATAGCAACACATATTTTAATATTAAAAAATTTTAAATAACTACTAATTTAAAATTGTATTAACATCCCAGTGAGCCTGGCTAACTGTAGATATATTTTTCTTGGTGAAGTGTTAGATATTTGTATTTTCAGAATAATTTGATAAAGACAGTTGAGTAACTAGGAATGTAAAATAATTCTTACTATACATAGCATTTTTTTCCACTTGATTTTGTGAGCAGTACCCAGAGTTACTTGTGGCTTCCTATAATAATAATGAAGATGCTCCTCATGAACCTGATGGTGTAGCCCTTGTATGGAATATGAAATACAAAAAAACTACCCCAGAGTATGTGTTTCACTGCCAGGTAAGATGGCCTTTTAACAGTCTTCCCCAAGTTTAAGAATTCATTAATGAATTTAGACAAGTGCCTTTTTTCTTTTCTTGTCAACGTAATGATTTCATTGGATTGGCATTTACTAAACCACCCTATATTTGCAAACAGATGTTAACGGAAAACTAAAGACTTCTCAGTTCAGCATGATCTGCCTTTTGTAGCTTTTCTGACATCTCTTATGTTTAATCACACCTAAAGTCCTTTGCTGTTGTGATTTTCTGTTATTGTGATTGATTGCATAAAAGGAATCTTTTATAAAATGTCTTTTCTACAAGGAGTTTCTCAGGAACTTATTTGTTGAATATACAATTAGACGGTTGGCCCACTGAATTACTTATACATAGCCTGAGGAATTGGAGCTAAATAGTTTTAAGTAGAAGCATATGTTTGAAGTAGGAAACAGATCCAGATTTTAAAAGTGGAGTTAGTGGGAGGTTAGAATTTGCAAGCCTTTTCTGGTTGCATAAGTTACAATCTTTTAATAATATCATAATTCTGAAAAAACACTTAACTGAATAAAAACCAGTATATACTCTGTTGTCAGATTACTGTCAGTGACTAATGCAGGGCCATTTGTCTTTTGATCTAATGCTGTAATCAAATGAATAATTTTTTGCTTTTTTCAAAAATTGCTTAAACTTATTTATGTAAATATATTACATTTTACTTTTAGGCAAAGCTATTTTAAAGATAATTTTTATATTCTGAAACAAAATGAAAATTTTAAGTGAAGTTATTATTTTTATAATCTCTTACAATAAAGAGGAAAATATTTTGGATATAAACTTATTTTTCTAAGTTGTCAGGCTTCTTCTATTTGAATCTTAAGCATAAAAATTTTACTTATTTGCAGTCAGCTGTAATGTCTGCTACATTTGCAAAATTTCATCCAAATCTGGTGGTTGGTGGTACATACTCAGGCCAAATTGTGCTGTGGGATAACCGTAGCAATAAAAGAACTCCAGTGCAAAGAACTCCACTGTCAGCTGCTGCGCACACAGTAAGTAAAGAGGTTATTTCCATTAGACTTCTGAGCTCCTTCACCATTAAATACATAGTAGTGTCCATTAGAGTACTCTCAGGATGTGGTTTCTTTGATATATGAATTCCTCATCATTTAGCAACCATGAAAGAATATCCTCTGTATTTTTGGAAATCTTTTATTAGAAACTCATCTGTCTTCTGAGACAAACTTTGGTAGGCAAAAGAATAGCATCAAACTTCACATTAAAAATACCCTCAAGATACGAGATTGTTTTGATATGAAGCAGAATACCTGTGATTATACAGTAAAATTTGTTTCATTTTTGGTAAAATAATTCCAGAAAACTGTCCTTACTGTCTTTGTTTAGCATCCTGTGTATTGTGTAAATGTTGTTGGAACGCAAAATGCTCACAATCTGATTAGCATCTCTACTGATGGAAAAATTTGTTCATGGAGTCTGGACATGCTTTCCCATCCACAGGTAAGTTAGACATAGAAAACTTGGAATTTTTTTAACAAATGTAATTTTTTAAGTCTGCATAAACCCAGCTTACATTTTTTCATAAATGGTGTATAATAGTATTATGGTAAGAGTGTATAAACCTAAACATGTGTTATAGTTTGTCATGTTTATACTTTATTTTCAAACCTGCTTCATTTAATCAGATTTATGTAAGTAGTATGATAAAAGAATTGTTTACAAGCCAATTAATAGTAGAGAGTTTCTTTAAAAAGTTAAAAATTGCAAGCTAACAAAGTAATTTTCTCAATTTTTCCTATGTAGGATAGCATGGAATTGGTTCATAAACAGTCAAAAGCAGTAGCTGTGACATCTATGTCCTTCCCTGTTGGAGATGTCAACAACTTTGTTGTTGGGAGTGAAGAAGGTTCTGTGTACACAGCATGCCGCCATGGCAGGTAAATCTAAACTGGAATTTCCAATTATTTAAAATTCTCCTTTGAATAATCTCATTAAAACAAATTGCCATTTGTTTAAGTAGAAATCTCTCCTGGAGTCACTTACTTGTGACAAATTATTTGAGTTTAGGTATATAAAATTAAAACAAACACTTTTTAAAAATGAAAGGTTATTTGGATCATGATGTGTTCTGGATTTTGGTGGTCGTGGTATGTTGTGGTTGTATATGTGTGCATGTGCTCGCAAAAGTTAGTGGTAGGAAGTAACAATATGTAGATGTCATCTACTGACCTTTAAAGTTGTAAATAAGATTTTCAACCATTTTCCATTTTGATTTATTTGGATATTGAGCTTTAGTTCAATCCTCCTGATAATTGTACAGTAATGCCACATACACATTTTAAGTTGACTAATATTTCTCTTGCTGTTCAATCTGTTTTGAAATTGTATAGCTGTACTTTATCAATTACTTCCTTAAAAAAATTGATTATTCAAATTTCATCTTAAATACAGATCAACTACACTTCAAAGCTTTTGATTTAAAAGTAGCCCAAATTTTCTCTCTTAACATGTACATCTCTTTGTCTCTACTACACCACTTCAGATATTGGACTTTTGAGTTCTTTCTTCAACAGCATGATCTTTATTTTATGGTTCCAAAATGTACTTACTGCCCTAGTAGTGTTTCAGATCTGGATAGAGTAATGCTCAACATAAGTTGTTCTTATGTGTTATGAGCACAGAGTTAAGTTTGTTGAAATTATGTCAAAGTCTGATATATCCATGATCTACTTAAGATTTCCCTAACATTTTTACTTTTGTGAAATAGTAAAGCTGGAATCAGTGAGATGTTTGAGGGACATCAAGGACCAATCACTGGCATCCATTGTCATGCAGCTGTTGGAGCAGTGGACTTCTCACATCTTTTTGTGACTTCATCATTTGACTGGACAGTAAAACTTTGGACAACTAAGGTATCTAGAAATGATATCTGCTTATTTGATCAGGTTTCTGACACAAGGTGGTGCTCTAATACTACACGGGAAAGGCAGAAAGCTTTCTAACAGCTTAGAATGATTTACTGATAAATCAAACCTGGTAAGAAGTTACAGAGAACATGAATGAGGTGCTACATGTTGTATATGTATATATGCTGACAAATATGTTAACCCGAGACATAACCAAAGACCAGTCTTCCCACCACTTCCAGCTTTTCAAGCACAGAACTGTTTACCCTGATCTCAGTTGGGGAAAAAGCCCCTGAATGTCTTCCATAGCACCTTACCTAGCTCTCATACAGTGCAGCACAAAAGCCATACATTTGCTCCTTGAAGAGCTTTTAGAGGCTTGTTCAGAACTACAGTTGCTCTCTGAACTGATGGAAAATGGAGGAAGACAGATAACTGATGTACAATAAGTCTTACACAATAAGGCTGTACATAGTAAACTTGAATTATATTGTGTAAAGGCATGGATGCATATGTATTTTTGTTTTCCACAATAAATAGTTTAAATAGCTTGTTTTGGTTTTAGTAAGCTTCAATTATTCAAAAACCCAATTATGTTATAAAGTGCTTTCTGATCCTCCAGTAATTCCAGATAAATGTGACATTGGCCTGTCTCATTGGAAGTCTCAAGGCAAATCCAGGTAGGGAATGTTACTTCCTGTCGTAGGCCTTTTAGTTTCATTTGACCCCATTTTAAAGTTAAAGTGCCTTGACTTTGCTGTTTAGCTTTTCTCACAGTATTACGTTGTTGCTGGCAAAACTGCATATTTGGAATATCAGATTGTATTTAAGTTAAATTTTAAGCTGTATTTTTTCATCTTCCCATCTGCCTTATCCTATATGCTAACATTTGAATAGTTTGTATGAAACAAAGTTTAGAGACCTTATTTGGTTCTTCAGTTAATCTTTCAGAAAACCTAGTGGTCTTGAGCTCTTCTTCACTATTACAGTGAACTCCTACTTATTTGTCAAATGCTGGCCTCAGAAATCTCAGATGAACTCACTGTTCACTCTTGTCCTTTCAGCGTGCTTTTTTTTTCAGCCTAAGATGGAGTGAGTTAGAAAACTGTGCCTCTAAAAGCTTGCCTTTTAAAATTGAGAGTTTTCAAGTTTGGCAACAGATGATAGAAAAATAGCACCTACCTTAAGTGTAATGAAGGAAACATAGAAAAGTGCTTACCACAGTGTCTAGCATGGAACAGGTACTTAACAATGTTCAGTTCCTCCTTTTCCCCTTCTGGGGATCAGAGAAAGACTGAATGCATTCAGTCAATCATCTGTTTTCATTCTGGGATTGTTCTTGAATTTTTGTTCTTTTAATGAGATTTATACAGTGGAAAGGTAGAGCAAGATGATGATTTTCACAACCACAGGCAAAGACATGCATAATTAGCTAACAAAACCAAAGCAAGATGAACAATTGGAAAGATGAAGCCAACCATTTCTCTCTACATTCTGGCAGCCATATAAATGGCTAGATTTCTAGATATGCTTTTACCTTAGTAGTTCTTTGTGTAGACACAGGAGACCATTACATTACATCTTTGTTAGGTTGCCAGCTTTCATTTTCAATTGAGTCTTTTATCTGTTTGTAGATTTATTATTTTTAATACCTCAGGGCTTCAGTTTGCCAGCCTTTATTTAGCTTTAAATTTGAGGCTTCCATCATTACATATACTATCAACAGGACTAGAAAATGAAGAGTTTGTCTTCCTAAACAACAGAACTTATATCTGCGATAGCAGACTGATGCCTGCTCCTGTGGTACTACACAGCTGGTTAATTGGTGGTTGATATTTTTTGTTCTTATATTTTGCTGTATTTCAACCTAGAACTGCCTGAACTGAGTACTGAGTAAGAATGACAGGCAGGTGTATCTCTTCCTTTGCTTATTGAGCTAGGCATTGCTTCCTTATGTGAGCTTCATTATTCACTCAGCTGTGATATATGCCTCTCCCTATCCCCTACCAGACATCCCTCCCCATTAGTGGCCAAAGGATAGTCAAGCCAATATAGAATAGAGTGTTTTCGTACATGTCCAACGGCCCTCTAAAACTTAATCAGAAGAATTACTTTTTTTTTTAAATTCATAGTATTTATTTTGCATCACAATATTTCTTCCTCATACAATTTTATGATTTGCTTGTAATTAACAACAATGGTATAAGGTACAGCTACATAGTTGTGTAGGCTTCACTATTCTTTGAAATCATGCTTTGACACTTTGCTATGGAGCTATTTGGAGGTCTGGCTCTAGTTGAGTTTATTTATTTCTTTATTTATTTTTAATTTTTAAACATTTTATTAAAGTGTAGTTGATATACAATTATTATATTGGTTTCAGGTATACAATGCAGTGATTCAACAGTTACCCACTTTATTAGATCCAGACCCCAATTAGTACAGTTAGTATCTATGAACATAGAAAGATATTACAGGATCATTGTATTCTCCATGCTGCACTTCCATCCCTGTGACCAACTTATACTATGATTGAGAATTTTTTGTTTGTTTGTTTGTTTCTTTGTTTTTGTTTTTGAGAGGGCATCTCTCATATTTATTGATCAAATGGTTGTTAACAACAATAAAATTCTGTATAGGGGAGTCAATGCTCAATGCACAATCATTAATCCACCCCAAGCCTAATTCTCGTCAGTCTCCAATCTTCTGAAGCATAACGAACAAGTTCTTACATGGTGAACGAATTCTTACATAGTGAATAAGTTCTTACATGGTGAACAGTACAAGGGCAGTCATCACAGAAACTTTCGGTTTTGATCACCCA